GTCCACCAGAGGGTTTGGACCCGGGTGCACTTTTGTTTATTAGGGCTTGGGTCTGATGGGCCTCTTACAGTACTTCTGCCATTTACTCAACCAAAGAGATGTTGGTTCTTATGTTTGCGAATCAAATGATTTTGTTGTTCTCTGTTCCCTTTGCCCGCACAGAATGGGAAAATAACTTTTGTATATTGTTAGACCCGGCTCTAGGCCGTAACATAACAGAAGGGAAGAGACACCGGCTATGTTCAGGAACCCCCGCGTACGGGCATTCTATTGCATTCTAAATTCTCTGAATCAGTATCCTATTTTATTGCCAGTAAGTAACAGGATGTCACAGACTGGAATTGCTTGGCTCAGTGCAAACATTCATAGAGAAAATAATAAAAAACTAAAACTTAAAGAATAAAAAACACTTCTAAGGAATACATTTACATTAGAATAGAGTTAACGTTACTATTTACAATATACAAGTGCACTAGGTGCACCAATGTAGGTGACAGCAGTACAGTGAAGTAAGTGGTATGATGCGGCAGTAAAGTGACTTTTATAAAGGGCGGGGGACAGGTTAAGAGTGTTCAAGAGTCCAACAAGCATGAGGGGAGAACTGTTCTTGTGGACGGGGAGGTTATAGTCATGATGGACCGCCAGTCTTGCCAAAGGGGAGTGGTTGGAATAGTCCAGTGCAGGGTGAGGAGGGTCGGGGGCCTGTGATACGACGCCGGACTTCGAGTCGGCGGCCACGTATCAGGTTCCTGCAGCGATGGAATGCTTCGGCCAATCACTTCCTCTGCAGAGCCGACAATGCGCTGTAGTCTTGTTTGTCCCTGACTGTGGATCCAGAGAAACCACACCCGGGACGGAGGAGGTGAGGTTGGACTCGATGATGGCCGTGTAGAACTGCTCCAAACATCTGGCAGGCAGCTGGCTTTCTGAGGCTGCTGCAGGAAGTACATCCTCTGCTGGGCCTTTCTTGCTGAGGGAGTGATGGTCATGCTCCCACTTGAGGTCCTGGTGAATGGTGGGGCCCAGGAAACGGAAGGGAGAGTCCATCAGGAAGGGGGGGCTGGGGACAGTGCTCAGCCTGAGTCACACAATCATCTCCACTGTCTTCCTGGGCGTTCAGCTCCAGGTTGTTACCACTGCACCAGGACACCAGCCGGTCCACCTCCCTCCTGTAGCGGAACTCATCGTTATTGGAGATGAGGCAATGAGGGAGGTGTCATCCACTGGAACTTGAAGCAGTCACAGAGTCGCTGGCTGGAGGTGCAGTGGGTGTGTACTGGGAAAAGAGCAGGGGAGGAAAGCACACAGCCCTGTGGGGCTCTCTGTATTTATAGATCGAGAGTCGAGACATTCAATCCTTGACGCACTCGCTGATTCCTGTCTGTCAGGAAGTCAGTGATCCCCCTCGAGTGAACCGGGCACGTTGAGCTGGGAGAGCTTGGCCTGGAGCAGGGATGGCAGGTATCGTGTTGAGAGGCAGAGACCCGATTTAAGTCCACGAACAGGACCTGGCGTCGGTCCCCGGGGAGGGCCAAGGCTGTAGGATGTGGTGGGGCCAGGGTGATGAGATGTTCCAGATCTGTTGCTCTGTAGGCGAATGAAGGGGTCCAGGAGGGGTGGAGGTGAGGGACTTGAGATGGGAGATGACCCCAGGCGTTCCAAATGACTTATGACGACAGAAGTATGTGCTAACAGTCTGTAGTCAGTTGAGTCTGTGATCCTGGGGCTTTTCTGGGCACGGGGGCAATGATTGAGGTGTGAGTGAAAGCAGGCCGGGGGACATGGCAGGAATGCAGAGAGGGAGTTGAAAATGTCAGTGAACACAGGAGTTAGCTCACTCGCGCAGTGTCTCAGAGGTGTGTAGCTGGAGACCCTTGGTCCGGGCAGGAGCTTTGCGGGGGGTGCAGCCTCAGAGGGAGTTTGTTTACTATCTCTGTGCCCCCGGGGACTTGGCTGCTTTCAGTTCGTCCCTGAACGGATATTTAGCTGCTTTGTAGCGCTGCGGGCCCCCTCCTGAAAGCCGAAAGGACATGGCATCCATCCACCTTCCAGGGACCTTAAAGACGTCTATTTCCGCCAGGGTCATAGGCTCTCCACCGTGCTGTCCCGGTGTGGGCCTTAGCACGGGTGGGTGGTGAGGATCCCCCCCCATTCCTCTGCAGTGTTATTCCTGCATGCTGGACAAGCCACCTGATAAGTGATAGGCAAGGAGGGAAGAAGGGAAGAACGCCCTACGCAATGGATGCGCATACGATTTATCTGGAACTAGAAATGGACATGAAAATGTTCCAAAAAGTTGACATGACACAACTGTGTCCTCTTCCTGCGCATCGGCATCAAGCTCAATAGTTTTGTTCAGATGTTTTTTAAGAACACGTACCCGTAATATTGTGCTGGTAATGTTGATGTTATAATTGGACATAAGCCATCACTTGATCACCAGGCTTGAAAGGAGTGGAGCTCAGGACAACTGCCCAATGGCGACTCAATTTGGCTTTGGTTACACCCAGTTTCCCCTGCATAAAGGCACGTTGCCTAAACCCGTTACCGTGATCCAAACGATTTTTTCAGGGGGGCGGTTCAGACTCTTTAAACTCAGCAGCACTAGCTTGCTTGACAACACCTGGTACTTCAAGTGACCTCCCACGCAGCAACATCAACCAAGGCAGACCTCCTTCCCAGCCCTTACCTATCTCTATACAGTAAGTATAGAGATCGTAACTCGCTTGGGAGGGCTTTTCAATAAGTTATTTCACGACTAAGAAACAAATGAGAGTTCAAGTTTGTCCCCGTCCAACTGAACACTTCGGTCTCCCAAACCGGAGATGAAATGTGACAATTCCTGCACACGATGTTGCTGTAACAGAAAGCAAAGGATACACAACAGGTAGGGCACTTGCTTTGACAACAGTCAGTAATCTGTAATTGTATGTGACTTTTATTTAGGACTCCTTGAAAAAGAGGTCCATAATCTCAATGGGACTTTCCCCCCCCCCCCCTTTCCCCCCCTCCCCCCTCCCCCCCCCCCCCCTTCCCTCCCCCCCCTGGTTAAATAAAGTAAAAAAAATAATAATATATAGTATACTATATATATATATATATTATATTATTAGGGCTGTCCAAACTTATCGCGTATTCAACGTTAATTACCGTTTTCATTAACGCGTAAAAAAATAATTAACGAAGTTAACTGCCATTGACCGTGTCTCAACTCTTGTTTTATTGGTTGTACCAAAAAGTTAGAGGTTGTGAGAAGTCAAACAGCCTTATTGCAGTGGCTCGGGTAGACTTGCGTCACAGAAAACTAGGGGAACTCTGAGCCAATGGAGCGTCCAGGACAATTCTAATGTAGTGACACGGAAAACCATAGAGAGGGCGCCTCACCGGACGGTTTAGGCTAAAAGTGAGTTTTTAACTAATTTGAGATTAAAATGTCAAATATATGGCCAGGACATGTAGGGGCACTATAGGAAAACTTATTTAGGCAGTGTATAGTAAAAAAGTTGATTTGGTGTTTAGTACTCTTTATAGTAATTTGTATGAATAAAAATGTGTCATTACATTTGAAATCTCATTTAAATTCAATTGAGAGGGATTTGAAATAGAATGTTAAAACTCGATTAATCGTGAGGTTATCACCATTACTTTGAGCGATTAATCAACTAAAAATAATCGTTTTTTTTTTGTGACTGCCCTAATTATAATTTATATATATATATATGATATATATATGATATTCTATATCATTTATTTTTTGTTTTCATGTTTGCATCACTAGAGGGAGCCCAGGTACCCAGTGATTTACGCTTACCACACTTGAGAATCCCTGAACTGACGTCAATTACAGGACAGTCAGGACTGGACCAAATACAGTACAGACCAAAAGTTTGATGCTTTGTCATTCAATGAGTTGTAGATTCACTCTCCAGCCTGTGTAAGGGCTAGTTGACCAGGCCCTCCACAGTCACCGACTGTGGAGGCCAATCCAGTGGTTTTGTGATGAGTTGGACCACAGAGTGAAAGGTGACGGCCACCAAATGCTAAGCATCTCAGGGATCTCCTTCCAAGACTGTTGGAATACCTTTTCAATCATACCTCTTGAAGCACAACAGAGAATGCAAGAGTGTGCGACGCAGTAATCAGAAGCAAAAGGTGCTACTTTGAAGAACTTAGAATATAAGGACCTCTTTTCGTTGTTTAATCCTTTATTACTTATGTACATCATAAGTCCCATGAGTTAATCATAGTGTTGATGCCTATCTAGTGTGATATCGACAATTTTCATAGTGTAAATAATGAAAATATGAAATTAAAAAAATCTTTGAATGAGAAGGGTGTCCAAACTTTTTTTTACAGGTGAAAAATGGCGTTCATTATTACTTCTCACCTTAGCGGGAAGAGGAGAAGTCATATGTTATACATTCTAGAACTACCCACCATTATCTCAGCTACTACCATAGTCTTTAAGCATTATAGCTTAAAATACTTGTAAAAAAAATACTTAAAATGCTTGTATTTTTTATATTTTTTTTTTTTTCATTTTTTAGTGGTGTGTATGTATGTCCCATCTCCTGTATGCAATCTCTTCAAAAGTTTAATATGTCCAAACACATTGATTAAAACATTGTACTCTATAATAAAGTAGTTGTGAGACACCGTCCCCTATCCGAACCAACACAACACAGACAACAAGCAGCATCCAAGCTTACATAAATCATTTTCACATTTTATTTGGAGAAGTAAATTATAAGTCTTGTTTTAAATCTCGTTTATATATTCTTTCTAAATATTTTCCCAGGTTACCAGAACGGAGGTGCCATGTTTCCAGTGTTACCAATCACATCAGCAAGAAACGCATCACTTACCTCTACCCTCACAGACAAGGCCATCCCACCAGCATGTGCTCCCAAAAGATGGGCACCCAAGGAGAAACGCCCACCACACCCAGCATCAGCAGCAGCACAGCACTACATGGACTTTATGAACGTCCGGTCCAGGGCATGTCCAGGGTGAAGCACTTGAGGGTCACAGCGCACCTGCGGGACATGTCCCAAAGTGGGAAGCAGGGACTGACAATGATGTGGTTTATGTGTATGGACTAGTACAATGCGTGGGACTGATCAACGAGTTATTGTTGGATTTTTTGTATTCTAAAGTCTAACAAGAATCCCAAATAAACGTGATCCTAATACATAATAAACTAAAACATATCCTAATTTGGAAACACAAAAATTTAATAAATCCATAGTTATTTTTTTTTCTCTCTCTCATAACTCTTTACTTCCATTGATAGTTTTCCACATGTAGTATTTTTGGCTCTTTCACACCTTTAACTTAAGCTTGTTCAGTGAAAAAAGAGAGTACTTCTAAGCCAATCAGCTCTCAGTAAGTAAAAGACAGCATTGTTTTCTTTAGATGAAGCGCATGTTGTGTTCTTATTTGTTCACAATTTGTCTACTTAAACAAGTATGATTGGACCTATTAATAAAGGTTTTGGGGCAAAGAAGAAAAGAGACAAACCAATTAAATATGTTGCTTTATGGTTTGTGTGGCAGAAAGCAGAGGAAGCGCAGCATCCAGCCAGAGGCCGCCTTCCCCCCCAAACCCCAGCCTCCCCCTGTGGCACGCGCTGCAGAGGCTTCTGTACCAGCTACATTGGTCGGACAACGTGAGATCCGCTTCGAAGTCAATGACGTCTTTGAAACTGCTCAAAGAAGGTAAGTAAGGGTTTGTACTACCCTGGATTGAAATCATTTTCATTTAAGTGGTTCTACCCCCGCTCGCGGAGCTTTACGTCACTAACCATTTCCTGTTCAAATCTTCCTTAAATGGCGTAGCTGGGGGACTAAAGGGGGCGTGAACGAGACTGGGCCGTTTGACATGGCTCTGGGCGGGGGCGGCTGAAGTAAGGTCCAACTTCTGTGCCAGTGTTGGCGCCAGATTCAAAATTCATATGTAGGATTAAGGTCGCCAGCTGATGGCGCCTCACAGAACGGTTTTAGGCAGAAGTTGACTCTCTCTCTCTTTCATCCTCTCCTTTGCTTAAGCGTTTGTGTTGGGAGTGAGGCTTCTTGTGGCTGGGTCTTGGGCAGCACAGTGTGGTGGGACTAGAAGTTGATTTTTTTTTCCCGCTTAATGTGTCTTTGCTGTTTTATGTGTTGTTTTTTACTTTTTGCCTTTGGTTTGCTTTCTGTGTGTTTGGCTTTTTTCTTCTGGTCTTTGTTGTTTTTCTGTTTATTGTTTATGTTGTTATCCTTTCTCTTCTGATCGTTGTGTTGTTGAGCGAGATAAGGGTCAGCACTTCTGCCTAAAACCGTCTGTGGAGGCGCCATCTGAGGCGGACCTGTATTTACTACATTTTGAATTTTGAATCTGGCGCCCCCCAACACTGGCCAGAAGTGGGACCAGACGTCAGCCGCCCCGCCAAGAGCACAATGTTAAACGGCCCAGTCTCGTTCACGCCCCTTTAGTCCTCCAGGCTATCGGCCCTTTAGAGGAAGATTTTGAAACAGGAAATGTGGAGTGATGTAAGCTCGAGGACGCGAGATTGTGGAAGAACCACTTTAATGAAAAATGATTTCAATCCATGGTAGTCAAACCTTAGTACTTCTTTGAGCCAGTTCCAAAGTACGTCATTGACTCTCGAAGCTCAGATATCATCGGTGTCCTGACCAATGTATGGTACAGAGCTCTGCCAGCGCGGGTGCCACAGGGGCGAGGCTGGGGTTTGCGGGGCTGGAGGAGGCCTCTGATGATGCTGCGCTTCCTCCTGGCTTTCTGCCACACAAAACTAAAGGCAAATATTTATTTGGTGTTGTCTCTATTTCTTTCTTTTGCCCCCAAAACCTTTATTAATAGGTTCCAATCATGTCTTGTATAAGTAACATTTTTCGTGAACAATCAGGAAACAAAATGACTTTCTTCATTATAGAAAACAATGCTGTCTTTTACATACGAGGAGCTGATTGCTTAGAGGAGTCTCTTTTTTTTCACTGAAAAGCTTAAGTTAAAGGTGTGATGAGGCCAAATACTTACATGTGATAAACTATCAATGGAATTAAAGAGTTTTGAGAGAGAGAAACAATACTATGGATTTATTAAATTTGTTGTGGTTTCAAAGTTTGGATCTTTTAGTTTTTTATTTTATTAGGATCACTTTTTTTTTTGGGATTCTTGTTAGACTTTGAATACAAAAAAATCCACAGTAATCTTGAGTTCATCAATCATTGGATTTCTTAGACCATCGACATAACCACATCATGTGTCAGTCTTGCTTCACTTCTGGGACATGTCGGCTGGTGCTCTCGTGGAATCAGTGCTCACGCCCTGACATGCCCTGGTCGGGACGGATCATAAAAGTCCATGTTTCTGATGCTTGTGCTGATGCTGGGTGTGGTTGGGCGGTTCTCCTTTGGGTGCCCAGCTTTGGGAGCACAGGCTGGGCGGCATGGCCTGGTTTGTGAGGGTTTTAGAGTAGTGGGACTTTCTGGCTTGGTGTGAGTGGCTCTGGGGAAACTTTGGCACCTCCGTTTGGTAACCTGAGGGAAATTATTTAGAAAGCACATATCAAGAGTTTTTAAAAAAAAGAATTATCATTTACTTCTCAATTAAATGTGACAATGATTTGTTGTTGGATTGCTGCTTGTTGTCTGTGTTGTGTTGTTCGGAATAGGGACGGTGTCTCACAACACTTTTTATAGAATTACAATGTTTAATCAATGTGTTGGTACAAATTAAACTTGAAAGAGGGATTGCAATACAGAGATGTTACCATTACATACACACACTAAAAAATGAAAAAAAAAATAGAAAAATACAAAATTTTAAGTTTGTTTTACACGTATGTTTTAAGCTCTATGCTTAAAGACTTTGTAGTAGCTGTGATAATGGTGGTATAGTTCTCGAAGTGTATAAATATTACGTCTCTTACCAGTGACGATGTGAGAAGTACTAATGAAAGCCCATTTGACAACGTGTATAAAAAAGTTTTGACACATCTTTCTCATTCAAAGCTTTGTTGTTATTTTCATATTTTTCATTATTTTTCACTATATGAAAATTGTAGTATGCCCACTGAGGCATCAACACTGATGAATTACTCATGTGGAATTATGTATGTACTTATAGTAAAAAAGTATGAAACAATGAAAATATGTGCTTATATTCTAAGTTCTTCAAAGTAGCACCTTTTGCTCTGTACTGGCTGCGCACACTCATTGGCATTCTCTTGATGAGCTTCAAGAGGTAGTGTTTGAAAAGGTATTCAACAGTCTTGAAGGCGAATCCCTGAGATGCTTAGCATTTGTTGGCCTTTCACCTGCACTTGTGTCCAATCTCACAAAACCATCTGGATGGCCTCCACAGTTGGTGAATGTGGAGGCCTGGTCAACTTGCCCTTAACACAGGCTGAGTAGTGAATCTACAACTCATTGAATGTCAAAGCATCCAACCTTTGGTCTGTACTGTTTATGTCAGTCTGTTGTCTGTATTGACGTAGTTTCAGTGTTTACTCAAAGTGTGGTAACGCGTAAATCTCTGGTTCGCGGGGCTCCATCTGGAGTGGTATGCCAAAATGATATAAAAATAAAGTTTATATATTTCCATATTTTATATTATATATATATATATATATCATATTATATATATTGGCTGTCAACGTATTATTTTTTTGTAGTTGATTATCGCATAGTAAAGTGAAGTTTAACTCCACGATTAATCGCATTTTTAAATTCTATTCAAATCCACTCAATTGTAAGTTAAATGAGGATTTTCACATTGTAAGACTATTTTTATTCATACCAAAAATTATACTTAACGAGTAACTAAACACCAATCAACTTTTTTTACTCTATACACTGCCTAAATATGTCTTCCTATAGTGCTCCCTATCATTGTCTGGCATATATATGACATTTAAAACAAATAAGTTAAAATCTCACCTTTTGAGCGAAACCGTCTGTGTGGCGCCTCACTATTGGTTTTCCGTGTCCAATACATGCTTGAATTTTGTTCCTGGACTCTCCATGGCTCTTGAGTTCCCTGTTTTCTGTGCGCAGGTCTTCCCGAGCCTCTGCTAATAAGTCTGTTTGACATGCTCACAACCTTTCTTCTTTTGGGTACAACCAACAAGAGTTGACACGTCAATGGCAGTTAATGCGTTAATTTATTTTTTTAGCGTTAATGAAAACGGTTATTAACCGTGATAACGCGATTGATTTGGACAGCCTAATATTTATACATATATTATACTTATTATATATATATATATATTATTTTTTTTACTTTATTTAACAGGAAAGTCCCATTGAGCATACGGACCTCTTTTTCATGGGAGTCTAAATAAATGTCCACATATCATTACAGATTTACTGACTGTTGTCAAAGCAAGTGCATCATGTTGTGTAGCCTTGCTGTCTGTTACAGCTAAATCGGTGGTTGCAGGAATGTCTCCAGTTCATCTCCTGGTTTTGGGAGACCGGAATTTGGTTCAGTTGGGAGGGGAAACAACTTGAACTCTCATTTGTTTTCTTTAGGTCGTGAAATCAACTTAGTTGTAGAAGAACTCCCAAGCGGATGGCGTTACCGATCTCTTATACTTACTGTATGAGATAGGTCAAGGGCTGGGAGGGAGGTATCTGCTTGGTTGATGTGCTTAGCGAGGGAGGGTCACTGAGTACCAGGGGGTTTGTCCAAGAAAGCTAGTGGCTGCTGAGTTTTAATAGAGTCTGACCGCCAGAAAAATCGTTGGATCACTGGTAACGGGTTTAGGGCAACGTCTTTATGCTGGGGAACCTGGGTGTACCAAAGCCCAAAATGCGTCGCCGTTTGGCGTTGTCCTGAGCTCCCACTCCTTTCGGCCTGGTGATTCAAGTGATGGCTTTATGTCCTAGTATAACATCAACCATTACAAGCAAAAGATTACGGTTACGGTCTGAAAAAACATCTGATCAAAACTATTGTTCTGATGCCGAAGCGTTGGAAGAGGAACACAGTTGTGTCATGTCAACTTTTTGGAACTATTCAAGCCGTTTCAAGTTCAGTTACATCGTCAGTATGCGCAATCATTGCGGTAGGCGTTCTTACCTTCTTCTCATGCCTATCATTTAGCAGGGGCGTGTCAGCATGCAGGTATAACATGGCCAGAGGAAGGATCCTCCACCCACCGTGCTAAGCCCCCGGACAGCCGGTGGAGAGCCTATGTCCCTGGGCCGAATAGCACTGCTAAGGTGCCCTGTAAGGTGGCATGGATGCCATGTCTTGTCGGCTCCTTTCAGGGAGGGGACCGCAGCGGATACAAAGAGCTAAATCTCAGTTCAGGGACGAAACTGTAAGCAGCCAAGTCCTGGCACAGAGGTATTAAACACTCTTCTTGGGGCTGCACCCCCGCAAAGCTCCTGGCCCGGGACCCAAGTCGTCTCCGGCCACTCTGAGACACTGCGCCAGTGAGCTTACTCCTGTGTTCACGGGACATTTTCAACTTCCTCCTCTGCAGTCCTGCCATGTCCCGGACCTGCTTCAAAATCCTCCATCATTGTCCCCGTCCCGAAGAAGCCAGGATCACAGGACTCAATGACTACAGACCTGTAGCAACTTCGTCTGTCGTCATGAAGTCATTTGAACGCCTGGTTCTCTCCATCTCAAGTCCTCCCTCCCCCCTCCTGGACTCCCCCTGCAGTATCGCCTAACAGAGCCAACAGATCTGTAGACGACGCCATTAACCTGGCCCTCCACACATCCTCTACAAGCACTCCTGGACTCCCGGGGGACCTACGCCAGGGTCCTGTTCGTGGACTTAGCTCTGCCTTCAACACACGATCCTGCCATCCCTGCTCCAGGACAAGCTCTCCAGCTCAACGGTGACCGATTCACCTGCAGGTGGATCACTGACTTTCCTGACGGACAGGAAGCAGCGGAGTGCGTCTGGGAAGAATGTCTCGGACTCTCGGATTATAAATACAGGAGCACCCACAGGGCTGGTTCTTTCTCCCCTGCTCTTCTCCCTGTACACCAACCACTGCACCTCCGCCACGACTCGTGAAGCTGATCAAGTTCGCGGACGACACCACCCTCATTGGACTCATCTCCAACAACGATGAGTCCGCCTACAGGAGGGAGGTGGGACCGGCTGGTGTCCTGGTGCAGTGGTAACAACCTGGAGCTGAACGCCCAGAAGACAGTGGAGATGATTGTGGACTTCAGGAAGAGCACTGTCCCCCCGCCCCCACCCTCCGTGATGGACTCGACCCCATCACCTCTGTGGAGTCCTTCCGTTTCCTGGGCACCCACCATCACCAGGACCTCAAGTGGGGAGCCTGACCATCAGCTCCCTCATCAAGAAGGCCCAGCAGAGGATGTACTTCCTGCGGCAGCTCAGGAAAGCCAGCTGCCTGCACTAGATGTTGTTTGCAGGTTACCACGGCCATCATCGAGTCCATCCCTCTCCTCCTCCGTCACCGTGTGGTTCGAGGAGCACCAGTTCAGGGACAAAAGAGTACAGCGTTTGTGCGCTTGCAGAGGAAAGGTGATTGGCCCGCAGCTTCCTTCGCTGAGGACCTGTACGTCGCGCCAGTCGATGGCCGGGAGCTGGTCGTTTTCACAGCCGACCCCTCTCACCCTGCACATGGAATATTCCAACACTACCCGTAGCAGGTGGACTGCGGTCCATCAGGACTAGACCTCCCGTCCACAAGAACGTTTATTCCTCTGCTGTTGGGACTCTGAACACTTCTTACACCTGTCCCCCCGCCCTTTATAAAGTACTTTTACTGCCCATCATACGTCAATTTACTTCACTGTATGCGTCACCTTACATTGTGGTGCACCATGTTGCACTTTGTATATTGTAGAATAGTTACGTTTACTCTATTCTAAATTTAATGTATTCCTTAGAAGGTTTGTTTAGTCTTTTATTTTATTTTTGATTATCTCTCTCCTGACTGTTGCACTGAGCCGAATCCATTTCCAAGTCTGTGACTTCCTGTTAACTTACGTGGCAATAAAAAGGATTCTGATTCTGATATTAGTATGCAATAAATGCACCTACTGAGAGTTTGAACATTGGCCGTTGTCTCTTCCCTTCTGATTTATGTTACGGCCTAGAGCGGGGGTAGTAAACAAATATACAAAAGTTATTTTTCCCAGTTCGGTGCGGGCAAAGGGAAAAGAGAACAAACAAAGATCATTTGATCGCAAACAATAGACCAACATTCTTGTGTGTCGTAAATGGCAGATGTACTGTAAGAGGCCAGCAGACAAGCTATAAACAAAGTGCACCCCGTGTCTGTCCAAACCCTCTGGTTGGACAAAGGAAGGCATCACACTCGAGGATATAATTCACAGTGGTGAGTCAAAGGCGCTTTACGTTTGTAATGAATTGAAATTTAAATTGAACTCATTAATTTAGTGTATCCGTTTTTAGTTTTTTCTTTCTCCTATATTTAAGCACAATTGTACTGTGAAAATGAGTAAAATGTTCAATGGCTCACAATATTAAATATACTTCTTTAGGAATGTAAACCTCTGCCATGTTCTGGATGAATATTAGGGCTTTACTACGCTCATACCGTGTATAGTGTTGTCTTTTTTTGGTTGTACTTGGAGAGGCAAGTCGTTTCTGAGGTTTGGTACATGGTGCAAAAGTTTGAGAACCATGACGTTAGTTGATGGCCAGCTGCACAAGCTGTACAGAATTTGAATTTCAATAATTGCATTGTGTCGTTGTTAAAAAAAGATGGACCTGTTACGGGTGCGTGTTGGTTACGTGTTGATTCTGTTTCTGCAGGTTGTCCTTCTCAAGTGGGGTGTTACAGTCTCTTAGGTTTGGTCTCTGTGATGAGAAGGATGGATGCATGAAGTGAGATAATCGTACGGATTTGTGCAGCCTGTGTGGTTTAATGCTGGATCACTGTATAGAATATTGACGTGAGAGACAGGCAAGCTCAAATAAATAATAACGTGGTACCACCTTTAGTGATGAATTCCATTTTAGCAATGCAAGTAATATAATTAGTTACCTATGTAAAACTTAAGTTTCTACGAATAGGTCGCGTAGTCCCTTAGGACGGCGCTCGTGGATATCGCTCGTGACCCCCAGGTCACACGCCAGAGAGATCAAATAATTTGCTCCAATCTCCAGGCCACCCTCCTCTATAACGGCCCCCGCCCCTGACACACACAGCGCACCCCCTCTTTGATTCTGCCAAGCGGGCTGGCATGATGGGGCTCGATTGCTAAGGGATACGACCTTTCGTAGAACTTAAGTTACATTAGGTAACTATTAATTATACGTCATGGTGATACGTCCCCTTAGGGACTTCGATAAGTGGGACCACAGTGTGGACTACCTGACCGGACCCAACAACAAACCAGATCCGCACCTGTGGATGCTCTCCCAAGAGCTCCTGAAACACAGGGGCGGAAGTCAACGAAGGCCCCTCCAGAGGAGGGAACTAACGCGTTTAACTCAGTCCGCTGCCCCTCAGACGGAATGGGCACCGCACCGGTCCGACAACATCCAAAAGATGAAGAGCCGGACGAAAGAAATGAGGACGACGGCCCAAGAAGCCGCACGGAGACGTCCTCGACCGACCGCCCCCTGCGGAGGGCGTAGAGGCCGCCCACCTGTGTGGAATGCGACCTGAAGGCCCACCGGGGGGCAGACCCTGGGTTTGATACGACCGCCGCACTGCCGTGGCAACCAGTGCGCCAGCCGCTGAGCCAGACAGGCAAGGGGCGCCCCTGTTCTGGGGCCCAGACACAACCAAACCTGATATTGACGACGTCATAGGCCAAGTGAATGCCTCAGCATTCTGACAGGACACAGAAGGTGCCGCGCTCCTCCTCGGGGGGAGGCTTGCGTGTTGGCGGATTAGAAAGCCCTAATCCTGATGACTCTCGACCTAAGGCCGACTTGATGACCTTGGGGAGAAAGGCCGGATTGGGCCACAATACCACCATGCAGTCGCCCTCTTCCAAAGGACAGGGCAAGGAGAATGGACCAAGGACGTGAGCGCACACAAGTCGCCCCGCCCTCTAGCAGGAGCCAACCGGCAGCAAGAGGGCCGTCAAAATGCGACAAACATCGGGACTCGCCTCCGCCGCCGGTTCAAAAGGCGGACCGACAGCCCCTAAGGACCACCCTGAGGTCACCAAACGGGGGGCGTTCTTGAGCGGGGGCTCCTCAGCGCGCCCCCCCGCAGACAAACGTTTAACCCAACGGTTGAGAAGCGGCTGTGAACCCCCCGAATCCGTCGGGACCCGATGTAATGGCCTGCCGCGAACACGCCAAGGTTGGCGACAGCCCTCCCTTGTCAAAAAGCTTCTGTAGGAATCCCAGGCACCCTTCAGCGGGCAAACGCCTCGGGACCCAGGAACGAGAACCACACCAGGTCGCTGAAGAGCCTCCTCCTGTGGGCGTTAGGCCCCTCACAGTGGACGGCGCCCTCGCCCCCTGAATGGTTCTCCACACCGCAGGCGGGAAGACCCAGGTCTACGCGGTTCCGCTCTCAAGCCTCCAAAACCAGATCCTGCGGGCCGATTATCGGGCGTGAAAACAGGGTTCCCCCCCGGACTAGCGCCCCCGCTCGTCGGGAGGGCCCAGGGCTCCATCACCGCCATGCCCCTCAGGCAAGGGGAACCCGCGGGGGACTGTCCCGGAGCCACCAGGATCACCGACCCTCCTCTCCTGTTCCGATCCTCCGCAGGCAGGCACCGGCAGGAGACGCCCCCCCACTGGTTGGGAAAGCGCACAGCAGGGCCCTTGGCCAGGAGGGTAATGAGCCAGAGCGCCATGCCTAGAGGCGGCTGTCCCCGCAGGCCTTTAAAGGCGAACCAGGACGGGGCACTGTGCGTTTTCTGCACTGGCGAAAAGTTAAACCATGGACGGCCGAACCTCCGCCATTCGCCGCGCTAACCGTGGGGCAGGCCCACACTCGTCCTGGACGTGGGCCCCCCCTGGACATCCTGTCGGCCCCACGTTCCGGACCCCGGGACGGGGCGCGACCTGAGAGACAGGAGGGTGAAGCGCGCCACAGCAGAGCGTCACCGTCGCCATGACGATGGTGGTGGCTTTTCGGGAGAATTGCAGAGCGTAACCCCTGCGCAATGTTTTCTCCTGCCATAGATTCTGTCGCAAAACACTTGCTCCCTCCAGCTGCTGTAGAAGTCTCGTGAGGCGGACACGGAGCTGGAACCACGAGACGTCCGAGGCCCCGCCCTCTCTGTGTCCACGCAAGGAGGGGGGTGGACGCAAGGGCGGGGGGCCCACTGCGTCACACCGTGAGCGCCGGCGCGGCTGGTCACATGTCCTGCAGCCCGACGTCATAAGTACGGGACTGTCATCCCACGTGATCGGCTGCCTGTGCCCCCCCTGGCGCTTCCTCCAAGGAGGGGGGGCGCAGCCCCTGGAGTGGGGAAACCCGTATTCAGCCTTGTAGCTCAGAGATGCTAAAACGCGTTCGGCGAAGCAACACACCACTACTCACCAGATCCCTCCGCTGACCTCTCTCTGGGAGGGCATAGTATGGATCATGAGGGCCGGAGCTCGTAGCTCGCGTCGCGCACTGCACATCCCTGTCTGGGGGCTGCAGGCTAGCGAAAGCAAAGTTAATGTGCTCGAGAAGTAACACAATCAGATTCACATTATTTGACATGTTTACCATACCCAAATGAGACTCTAGAAACAAGTAATGATGGAAATGCCGTGTCGGCCTTTATTGAAGGAAAAATTTCCACACCGACCTCCTCTGCCATAGGGAGGTCGGCGTGGTTGCGCTTTGCTACCGGAGCCACCCGTGGGTCTGTCTGGTCCCCGGGGGCCTCGTCGAGGGGGACGGATGGACAACAGAGCGCGGATAAGGGTCAGGATGCCTCCCGGAGCGAACGCTCTCTGCCTCAGTCCCGGCTCACGTGGTGGTTGGGTGGCCTCGCGCCTCGGGGCTAAGTGCGGGGGCTAGCCTAGCCGAGTCGTTGGTGCAGACTCCAGTCTCGCCCCAAGGCTGATGTCCGGGCCCGAAGAGGGACGTCTGAGAGGATGGGCTGGTCCTGCAGCTGTCCTCTTCTCCGCTCCCTGTTATTATCCAGACCAAGCCCAAAGGTGCATCTGGCCCCGACTGGGCCTGCAGCCCCTGGAGCGGCCACCGTACCACGGCTTGCGTTCTGGCCCATGCGCAGATCGCCTCCGAGGTGGTCCTCGCCTGTGACAGGGAGGTCTCCACTGAGCACAACCATTCATTTGATTAGGGCGCCATCTTGGATCGCCGGGGCTTGGGCACACTGAGTCCAACACCCAATGCATTTGCTACAGCACTGGCTCCCACACCATGGCTGTATTAGATGTAAGGCCTCCACGCGGAGTCAGGGTGCGTTCACAGGACGGGAAAACGTGGAATTTGTTAGCTTTTGGCGGAAAAAAGTGCGGAGATTCTCAAGATTAAACTTATTTACATACCGTCTTCGATGGGGGGCACTGGGGGTGGCAAGGATATTTTTAGAGGGTGGCTTTGGCCACCCGGGTACCCCCTCGGCTCCGCCCACTGCCGGCACCAGACCTCTCCTTCCTCCGAGCGGGACAGGATGTCTAGCCGATGCTGGATAGATGTTATGCCAAGGCGGCACAGGTGTCGCATTGGCTAACAACATGGGCATTATTCCGAGGGCTGAATAGGTCGCTCTCTTATGGCCAGGCGCTCAGTGGAGACCTCCTGTCACATGCGAGGGACCACCTCGGCGGCGATTTGCGCATGTGCCAGACGCTCGGCGTGGACGGTGGCCGCTCCATGGCTGCAGCCCAAGTCGGGGCCAGGGCTTTGGCTTGGGCTGGCGAATATCAGGGAGGCGGAGAAGAGGAAGCTGCTGGACCTTGCCATCTCTCAGACGTCCCTCTTCGGCCCGGACATGCAGGCTTTGGGTGCGAGACTGGAGTCTGCAGCCAACGGACTCGGCTAGGCTAGCCCCGCACTTGAGCCCCGAGGCGCGAGGCCCCACCTAACCATCACGGTAGCCGGGAACAGAGGCAGAGAGCGATCGCCCGGGAGGCATCTGACCCGTATCCGCGCTCTGTTGTCCATCGTCCCCCCTCGACGTGGCCCCCGCGGAGTCCAGAAGCCCCACGGGTGGCTCGGCTTGGGAGCAAGCACCCACCGCGAACTCCCTATTGCAGAGGAGGCGGGGTGGAATTTTTCCTTCATAAAGGTCCGGACCGGATTTTCTCATTACTTGTTTCTAGAGGTCTCATTTGGGGGTCTGGTAAATCATGTCAAATAATGTGAATTCTGATTGTGTTACTTCTCGAGCACATAACGTTGCTTCGCTAGGCCTGCCCAGCCCCCAGAGCGGGTTTGCCAGTGCGCTACGCGCGCTACCCCCCCCCCCCCAGCGTCCCGGCCACTCTGATCCCTACTCTGCCTCCCAGAGAGAGGTCAGGCTGGAGGGAGTCTGGTGGTGTAGTGGTGTGTGTGATTCTGCCGAACGCGGGTTAGCATCTCTGAGCTACAAGGCTTAATACGGGGTTTCCACCTCAGGGGCTCGCCCCCCCCTCCCCTGTGAGGCAAGAGCAGAGGGGCGGGCACAGCAGCCGGCGTCACGTGGGCTGAGCATTCCGTACCTTATGACTGTCGGGCTGCAGGACATGTGACCGCCCCCGGCGCTCACGTGTGACGCAGGGTGGTCCCCCCGGCACCATTTCGTCACCCCCCCTCCCTGCGAGGTACACCAGTGAGAGGGCGGGGCCGTGACGTCTCGTGTTCCAGCTCCCGTTCCGCCCCTCACAGGACTTCTACAGCATCGGGATGGATGCAAGGTTTGCTGACAGATCTATGGCTGAGAAAAACATTGCGCAGGGGTTAAGCTCTGCAATTCT